GCACCAAAGATAGTCCTCTTTTCCATTCATGGTGACTGGCAGAGGCCCCATCTTCCCTTGTTTGATGGAGTTGGACTTGGTGGTGATAGTGCGAACTTTGTTGAACTGATGATACAGTCAAAAAAAGAATTTAATTAATTCATTCCTTAATTTTTTAATTCATTAATTCCTTAATTTTTGTTAAGGAAGAAATAAGATGTAATTGTTTTTGACATTCTACCATATAACTTAGTTGAGCCTAGAGTCCTGACACTCCTGTATATTTTCTAGGACTGCTGTAAACTAAAACTACAAATCAAAATTTATATTTGTGCAATTCTTTTATTTCATTCACGAAATATCAACTTTTCTGTCAGAAGGTACAATAAACCTGTTTACCATTGCAGTTCGTCCGACCTCCAGGCAGTCCTGCAGTTCTACTTTATCAGTGAGTGAAGTCGCAAGTGGTCTATAAACACAAATTCACATTAATCTGTGCATACATTTATTACTGAACATGCATACAGGTCCATGAAGTTACACTTTATGTTTACAGATATGTGTGATTGTTTGTGTCCCTGCATTTATACCGGTTCATTCCAGGTAAATTTCCCCAGAAGTAGCGAGCCCTGTGGGCTGGGCTTACTTTCACAGCATCAATCATCACAGGATTACACTGGAAACAGATAAAAGCACGATAATTCATAACCATCTACAACAACGACAACAATAACATGCTCATGTGAGTAAGATGGGAACACCATTGGTAAACATCATGTATAAAGGTGCTTTCACATTTAGCATTGTTTGGCCACTTCTGGCAAAAGATTTTCCTATGCAAAGTTTGCATCAGGTTCAACATAATGTGTAATAATAATAATAAGTAACTTCTGTTCTGTGTGAGATGTGCTAATGTTTGCAAAATGTCTGCTAATTTGACCGCACCTCTAGCCTGGTGGGAAAAATAAAGAAAAAAAGTATTTTTACCTCCAGGAAACGACAGATATCAGCCTTGTCGTGGGCACTCATGGCTACTACATTCTCAAAGAGCCAGAAAAAGGGGCGATCGTCATCCTCTCTCGGCCTCATCATGGTTAACATGCGGTAATATTCAAAGAACAGTCGACCTGTGCCTTCTGAAAGAACATGAGAACTCTGAAATATTACTTTTTGAAACGGAGTTACATAAATCTCTTCCAATATTAAAGACCATGCTCAGATCTACCTAAATCTTCCCAATTCGATTGAATAGGTAGCATAAAGTACAAGAAAATTATAAATATCTTACCAAAGAGACCTTTTCTGGCTGGATTCACCATGGACAGGTCATTACATGGACTTCCACCAATCAGGAGGTCAAATGGCCCCCACTCGGCCAGCTACAAAATGGTATGACAAAAGGGAAGTTTAAAAATGTTCTTTCCACAGTGACTTGCCCTGGTTCCCTGTTGAAAAAAACAGCATATGCTGGTTAGGTATATTTTGAAG